GCATAAAAGGTCATAAAAACGTCATAGTATGGTCAGGCATCATACAAGATAGTATAGTAAGGCATAAAATTGCCAAAAAACATCTAAGTATAGTATGGCAGAAAAATGCCAAAAACGTCATAGTATAGTATGGCATAAAATGTCAAAAAAACATCATAGTATATTAAGGCATAAAAGGTCATAAAAACGTCATAGTATGTGAAGGTATGAGACGAAATAATATAATGAGGCATAAAAATGACAAAAAAAATACAAGTATAGTATGGCAGAAAAATGCCAAAAACGTCATAGTATAGTATGGCAGAAAACGTCAAAAGTACATCATAGTTTATTAAAGCATAAAAGGTCATAAAAACATCATATTAAGCTAACGCATGAGACGAAATAATATAATTACACATGAAAATGCCAAATAAAGTATGGTATGGCAGAAAACGTCAAAAGTACATCATAGTTTATTAAAGCATAAAAGGTCATAAAAACATCATATTAAGCTAACGCATGAGACGAAATAATATAATTACACATGAAAATGCCAAATAAAGTATGGTATGGCAGAAAACGTCAAAAGTACATCATAGTTTATTAAGGCATAAAAGGTCATAAAAACGTCATAGTATGTGAAGGTATGAGACGAAATAATATAATGAGGCATAAAAATGACAAAAAAAATACAAGTATAGTATGGCAGAAAAATGCCAAAAACGTCATAGTATAGTATGGCAGAAAACGTCAAAAGTACATCATAGTTTATTAAAGCATAAAAGGTCATAAAAACATCATATTAAGCTAACGCATGAGACGAAATAATATAATTACACATGAAAATGCCAAATAAAGTATGGTATGGCAGAAAACGTCAAAAGTACATCATAGTTTATTAAGGCATAAAAGGTCATCAAAACATCATAGTATGATCAGGCATCAAACGAGCTAGTAAAGTAAGGCATAAAAATGCCAAAAAAACATCATAGTATATTAAGGCATAATTGGTCATATAAATGTCATAGTACAGCAAGGCATGAGACAAAATAATATAATTAGGCATAAAACATCAAAAAAACATCATAGTATGGTTAGGCATCAAACGTCATAGTATTGTAAGGTATAAAATGTCATTAAAACGTCACATTATAGTGAGGCATAAAATGTCATGAAAATGTCGGTTAAGACCCCAGTGGTTGTGTCTGCTGCTGCTGCTCTCTCTCCCTCCAGGTGTTGCGCCTTCTTCAGTGACAAAGAAGAGCTGCGTGTAGCTGCATCTGTTTGCTGATCGGCGGGAGGT